CTATGCAATTGAAAGTCAGAGAAATTGCCAAATATCTCTGAATAGAGGAAATGAGTTTTAAAGGCAGTTGCGGCTCGTGCGACAGACTCATGCGTCGTGACGGGTTACAGTTAAGCCGTCTAACATCTTTCTGGCAAAAATTTCCTGCAGAGTTTCAACAGAAGCTGCTTAACTTTCAGCAACATGTGATCAAATTAAGAAAAACAAGAAACTATGAGTTAAGACAGATTGGAAATGCATATGAAACCTCTCTTCGATGTGCCTCGACATTTCACCCCTAACGTTAAAGAAATTAAGATTGTGTGCAGGAGCTACGAAAAAGCAGGGTATTACTGTGATGCTATGCATCACTGCTGATGGTTGAAAGTTGCTACCATATTTAAATTTAAATAAAAAACTATACAGAAAATGGAAATTTTTCCCATAGATGTTACTGTGCGTGCACAAAAAAATGAATGATTGCCGGCAGAGTTTATGGAAGACTGGCTAAATATTGTTTGGAATAGATGTCCTGAAAGAAGTCTGCGTAACCCATCTATCATGCTAGTACTTGATGTATTTCTTGGACATTTTTATCTGAAAAGGTCACAAATCAAACCTTGCAAAAGCGGGATGACTTGTTTGAGATTCCTGGCGATATGACTAACCAACTGTAGCCACTCAACGAACTATTTAAGAATTATTTGAGAAAGGAATATGAATCCTGGCTGTTGACTGACAACCTTTCTGAAAAATTAAGAAAACACCGGCATCAAAATTGGCAGAATGGATATCAACAGCTTGGACGATATATTATGAGATAACGAAGATAAAGACGGCTCTGAAAAATCACACACTGATGTTGATTTAGAAGGAAGTGGTGATAACGTACCTACTGATAAATAGGTACTATTTTTGTTAGTAATTAAATTCTATTATAATGAAGGTAATTGTCAGGTTGTAGCGTTTCATTTGACTTATTTTTCTTTGAAACAAGCCTTTTACTGTTGGTGAAAGGTGAACTTAAGGCGCGTCTTTTAATCGAAGAAATATAGTGTCTTGCTTCTATTTCAAATCTTTATATCGTCCAATTTATCAAACCAGAGCAGGCACCTGTCTCTGAGTTCATCTCATAGTTTTCTCTGACCGGTAGTCATCAGCACCTGCTTGTTCGTGACCCGGTGGTGCCATCATACTCTGAAGATATTTCGCACACGGCGTCGTTGGAAGCTGTTTAGACGAGACTAATGACGCTTCAGGACAACACATGCTTCGAGAGTATGCACGTGAATACTGCTGCTTTCAGAAGACACTAATGGTTCAGATCGGGCGGTACGTTTAATGTGCCCTCGTACAGACCTTCTTTTAGGAAGGATGCCATCGCCTATCGAATTCCGTTGTTACGAGTGACACGCTGCAAAAACACCCGTTGCATCCTCGTATATTGTAGCGATGGAGTTTAGATTCCCCGAGTTCTGTAAGAAAACGGTAAGGAACGGATATAGATTGAGTTAAAAACGTTCTCCAAATCGACGATGCTCCAGCAGAGCAGAATTTCACATTCGTTGCTTGTCTTAATTACTTGTTGTACTGCCTGGAAGCGACCCGTCTTGCAAAATTCACGTCTAAATCCTGCTTGCTTCTGTGACTGTTCACCGTCCAGTTATTCTTGAAGTCTACTGCCAGTACTTTTATGAAGATCTTTTAAATGTTCGACTGCAGACTGATCGACTTTAGTTATTCAGATTTTCATTGACTCATTTTTTGTAGAGTCAAATCACCGATGGCAGTTGTCTCGAATTGTCACTTCATTCAAGCTACGTGAATGCAAGCGCGCTACTTCTTTGGTCATTGCTTTATCTCTTGATTCCACGAATTCTACTGTAATGACATCCTCGTCAGGAGCCCTTCCTGGTTTCGCTTCTTTTATGACATGTCGTACTTCTTCTGGCATGATGTCTGGAATTTCGTCAACTACATTTGTATCTTCAGGCTGACTGTCATTACCCACGGTGTTACTGCTGTTATCTTTGTGCAGCTTGCACAGAACTAGTAACTTAGAGTGGGTGATTTTGAAATCAGTTGAACCTTTGAAATTTGTGAATATAATTTTTCCCTCGAACCTGTTCACTGCTTTACGGTGGGGGGGGGTTAGAGCAGGACCGCAACGGTCGCCGAAGATCGACGAAACGACAACGAAGACACCAATCAGCAACGAAGTCGCTACCTGTTCTGAACGGAGGAAGCAAGCACTGCGATGTCAATAAAGTACTTCAGAAAAGACTGCATGACAACGACACCAACAGTGGGAGCCTACAGTCAGAAATTCGAATGTATCCTCACTCAGATGGAAAGAACCGGGGCTAGATGATGAGGCCACAACGTACTAACTCGACATAATTGGACTGTCGTTAACGAAGCGCCAAGGGTAGAAGCTATTGCACTCAGGTATCGATATCACGACGCGCCCTCAGGCCGGTGTTGGTAGAATCCCAACTGGCTAACAGAACCATTGAATGGAATCCTGTTAGCGGAAGTGGCAATGCTGAAGCTACAACAGACCACAGTATTGACTTTGTTACAGGCCTATGCGCCCAATTTGGAGGAACAATGTGGTTCCTGTACGAAGTGCCGACTACGGAATCGTTCCTTCTAATGGGTGATTTTAAGCACATTCCGGAGTAGATACTGAAAACTGGAAAGGCCTGATTCGAAAGAACGGCCCTAGCGACCTCAGCAGTAACAGCATGAAGTTGTTGTGGTTTTGTGCAAACAACGGATTGTCTATTATGAACACCTTTTTCGAGCATCGAAAAGTGCACCAGTACACCTGGTACCGGGAAGCCTGTGTACAGTAGTCGATGATCGATTTGATAATCGTATCGTCTGACCTATAGCGCTCAGCAATGGATGTTCGTGTTAAAAGAGGCGCAGAGCTATCAACCGATCGCCACCTTGTTGTTGGCACGCTGCACTGTAAGAAATGGAGTACCATACGAAGATCTGATGGCAGAAGCAACCAGATAATTAAATGTGAAACATTATCTTCGGTGGACACGAGAGCGAAATTTGCAAACAACATCACAAGAGAGTTTGGATTGATCCCCTTGATGAAAACTGATGCGGAAACCAAGTGGGAGTTATTTTAGAGCGACGTATTCGGGTCTGCCGTCGAGTCTGTTTCAAACGTGTTGGCATGCCGCCTGGAGGTCAGAAAAGATCTTCCTGGTGGACCCGAGAGGTACAACTGGCAGTTAAAGAAAAGAAGGCTGCATTCAAGAAGTGACTTGGAAGCAAATAGCCTTCAACTCGCATGCGCAAGGCGTCAGCGAAAGTGATGGCAGATTCCTGGGAGAAGCTCGGCATGGTGTTGGATATGCAGAACCGCGAGCAAGGTATTCTAGAGGACCATCTGTCTGCTCCGAGGGGAGAAGAAAGGTGGTCGTAGAGCTTTGGAGGACAAGTCTTGACGCCCTACTACGGAGGATGAGGACATTCCTCAGCGACGGAGGGAGTACTTTGAGAAACTCCTTAACCCCAAGCAACCGCAAAAAAGACTCGCCTGTAGAAGAGCAGCAAACGGATTTCAGTACTCTTTTGAATGAAATCGCACAAGCTGGGTTAACGTTGAAAACTGGAAGCGCTACTGGAATTGATGAAATCCGTCCTGAAATGATCAGTTCAGTAGGCGAACATGGCACGTACTGGCTTGCACGTATATGTCAGACTTCAGTGGCTACGGGGAAACACCAGTGAATCGGAGAACTAGGGTAGTAGTGCTCGTGTTCAGTAAGGAGTACTGTAGGGAGTGCTCCAATTATCAGGGCATTGCCTCTCAGATGAAGTCTTCGGAAAGGTGCGTAAAAGGAGATGCCGCGGGATAACTGACTCCAAAATACAAGAGCAGTGTGGCTTCTGACCTGGCCAGCTCAATGAGAAATCGTGGGTGTTTCTTCATCCGGTTTCTACGTGCTTTATGGACCTACAGGAAACCTATCACCGAGTTCCTCGCAACAGACTCTGGGTATGCCTACGAACATACGTGATCGATGGTCAGCTGTTGCAGTCTATTTAATCACAATATGCTGATAGCAGGTGCTGCTTCATGATAAACGCCGTTCAGTCGAAATTACTGCCAAGATTGTGTTCTGTCCTCTGTCGTGTTTGTCTTGCACTTGGATAGAATATTCAGGTGCAGACAGGGCAATGAGTGTATCAGCGTAAGAGATGCCGAGACGAGAAGGTTGCTGTTTGCAGATGACTTTGCTTTGTTAGCATCTTCTTGAACTGATCTCCAGCGACGTCCGGAAAGGTTCGCAATCAAGTGCGACGTGACCGGCATGCCTGAGAGCATATCTTAGACGAAGGCCTTGTGCTTATTTGCTCACCTGCCTGTTGCTCTCTTCAGATAAACGGAAAAGCAATGGAGCAGGTGGAAAAGCTCAAATACCTCGGGGTCTTGTTTACTGGTGATGGAAAATTTCAGGAAGTGATCGACCGGCGGATTGGAGTTCCAGGGGCCTTCTGTGTGAACTATCCTGAATCATTGTAACTAAGGCAGAGCTGAGTCTGAAGACTAAGCTCTCGGTGTTCAAGTCGATCTCTATCCTCATGCTTACCTAAGGTCATGAGTCGTGAACCTTGACTGAAGAGCTTCGCACCCGGGTACAAGCTGCTGAAATGGGCTTTCTTAGACGAGTCGCGACCTTACGCCTTAACATGGTCCAGAAGAGTGACATCCGAAAGAGCTTTGGTGTACAGCTGTTGGTTCTTCAGATTGAGAAGCCACAGCTGCCATGGTTTGGGCATGTGCAGCGAACGCCTCTGAAAACGAAAGCAAACAACTGTTTCTTGCTCAGCCGACAGGAAGAAGGCCCAGGAAATGGCCAAGACTATCCTGGTGCAAATATGTGATAGGAGTCTGCTTTAGACTCCGGTTGTCTTCTGCCAAAGCTCAGACTCTGGCAGAGGGTTGGGAGTATTTAAAGCACAGTCTGACACGTTTTCCTCCGCGACCCGGAAGAAAAAGCGGTCATGGAAGATGAAGTTGAAGGTAATGATGAATTATTGCTGGCTGTCTTGCACAGTTCTTTACTTCAAAGATGTGATTAAGTGTTTAAACTTGTAATGTCGTGTGGGTTTTGGAAAAATTTTTAAGCAACGTCGCAGATGCACGATGTGCTAATGTCAGTAATCATTTTTTCATTAGTGTGCTTGAGGTCGAAAAACATTGTCATTTGTACTACGATCATATTTGCCGTTCGAGCTACAAGCCCGTGGTTGGTGCCAGGAACACGTGTGTTGTTTGAATTAACGCTGTAGTTTCGACCCATGCAGGTGCTCAAATAGAATGGAGGTCTTTCCTGTTTACGTGAATCCATACCTCGAGGATGGAGGTACTACACGACTTTGCTTTAATCACCAGTAATGTTTTGTGTGAGTCTCTTTATGCAGCGGTATTGGTGTAAATTAATTCCAGTCGATTTTAGGCCTACGGCTATATTGGAGGTTGATGTTTTGCAGAGAACTGACAAGTTGACCAAAGAACTGAAAATTAATTAAGCCACGTAATCAAAAGGAATGCTGACAACTCTGAGCAGCTAAGGTATTTTTGAAATATCTCAGATGCAAACGTTGTTGCCGTAATTTATTCATAACTAGATCAAGA